AATTTTTTGTACAAAAATACTAGATATATGGACCATCATTATGCACTTTACAGATTTGATCTAGCTCATTTCGTTTAGGAGTAATAAGAAAAACAGAGTGGCGGAGTTTTGTTGAATGACTAGATATTAAATTAATAATATTAATAATATTAATAATAAGTTGCTCTCAAAAATGTTGCCCACAATAAGTCCAAAAAGTTTATTACTGAAAACAATATGTTTGTTTGGATTTTTATACCAAACATATAAATCAGTTTAATATACTTCTCATACGAGACCACAACAAACATCAAGTTTGAATCGGACGCTCATTTTAATCTACCGGCGCTGACCCTATGCAAAAATATTAGGGCACTCATACGACCCGACCTAACACATCACTACACGTACAGATTTAAAATCAAACCAAATAAAACATTAAATCGGTTTAATTACGAAAAATTTGAAAACTTATCGATTGGCGAACAGTTGGCCGCTCTCATACCCCGTCACAAATTATTTGATTGTCATTATAAACAGTCCAGCGATGAGTGAGCCAAATGCGATCACGTGGTCCCATATAGGGTTACCAGATGTCCATTTTTGTAATGGATTGTCCATTTTTGGGCTGCCTTGTCCTTTGTATTTACAGTACCAAAAATGGACATTATTATATCCATTTTTATCAATACAAGTTTTCAAATATTTTACATATGAAATCTCATGGCATATGTCATGTGTCCATTTTTTGTCCAGTTTTCTAGATATATATTTTTATAAAAATCCATTTCTGATGTAAAATGATCTGGTAAGTCTAGTCCCATACCGTACCGCTCTATGGGTGTGGTATTCAAAAATATGTTGGACCTTATTTTTCCCAGTGGTCGGGTCAGTTAACATTAAATTATTTGGCAAGCAGGTCATTTCAATTCATATTCAACCTTTCTCGATTTGAACACATATTTTTACATTCCAGATGAAATATTAAAACCAAGCCCAGCCTGCATTTATGCTTAAAACATACTTCCTATTGATAATTTTAATTAAAATTTATTTAAAAATTGTTTTTTATGCTAGTAATCAAAGTCCATAAGCCGCTCTAAATTGATACAAACTAATTGATAACTAAGTAAACGTATTAATTTTTATATTTTATAGCTAGTAATATAAAGCTTATACCATTAGGCTAGAAATGGTAATAGAAAGGATATATTTAGTAATCTATTTTAAATATAAAATTTCCAATTAAAGCTAATTAAATATGTTGCTAATGTTTGACATATTTGCAAATTGTTGGAAATTTTACTCCATTTTACTAATCATTCCTATTATTTATTGGTAAGTTAAAATACATGTATATACTACAAAATTAATTTGCAATTGTAAATTTACTTCAATTACACCAATGTAGGTATTTAACCAGGAACTTTAATTATTTTACAAAACTTGGATTAAACGGACCTAGACCATTGCCAATAGTTGGTAATCTATGGGAGCGTTTCTTTACATCACTACCAGAATTGGAAACAAAATGGCAACGAAAATATGGAAACATTTATGGGTAAAGAAATATTTTTAACCACAATTCAAATATGAAGAATGTGGTTTATAGAATCGTTCGGCTACCCCCTCCCCCTGGCTACCCAAGCTCTATGGGATTTAACATGGGATTACAACTTAAGTCTATGGCTATACTTTAACATGGGGTTCTTGAGTCTATGGCATAGGATTAACATGGGCAATGCTAACTCAATTGGACTAATGCTAATCTTATAAACTAATGTTAGGTCTATGGGGGAGTGCTAATCCTATGGACTCATATTAAATGTATAGATAAAGTTAATTTAATTTTTAAGCAATACCCGAATTGTGGTTAACGCATAGCATCGATGTGTGAACCATGTTTAAATTTTTAAAAAACATCATTTTAAATACAGAATATTTAGTGGAAACACACCGTTATTACAAGTGGCGGAACCAAAACTTATTAAACTAATTCTTGTTAAAGATTTTCATTTATTTGTGGACCGAATGTCAATTTCCAAAAGCAAAAAACACCCGATTGTGGGCAACATATTGGCTGAACTTCAAGGGGAAGACTGGAAGAGAATCCGATCCATAACGAGCCCTGTATTTACTTCGGGCAAAATGCGCAAAATGTATCCATTGGTCAGACAGTCTGTGGAGGGGTTTATGAATACATTGAGTGAATACTTGAAACACAAACAAGTGATCGACGTTAAGGAGATGTACGCCTGTCTAACTATGGATGTGATCGCGAACTGCGCTTTCGCTACAAAAACCAATGCTTTTAAAGACCCAAACAATGCATTTGTAGTGAACGGAAGAGATGTGCTTAAAGTTTCTGTTTTGAAATTAATTTCAATGCTTTTATTGCCTCAGTTTGTGTTAAATCTATTGAAATACAAATCTTTAATGAATGAAAAGTCAGTCGACTTTTTCTCTTCAATTTTAAGACAAATATTGAAAGTTAGGGCAAAATCAGAGACAAAATACAATGATTTGATTCATCTCATGATGAGAGCTAAGAAAGGAAAGGATAACATCAATGATGAGAGCGATAGACACGAGTCTTATCACAATAATGAATGTTTGTCATCACAAATATAATTGCTTAAAGTGTATAAAATGAGAATTTTATATTAAATATATTTATTTCTTATATTTTAGGCGAAGAGGAATTAAAAATGGCGAACAAAATACTGAATATAAAACCATCGAATAAATTCATAACAGAGGATGAGATGATAGCGCAGGGATTTGTGGTGTTTATTGCCGGATATGAAACGGCATCCACTACTCTGTCCTTCTGTTCCTATGAATTGGCACTCAATCCAGACGTTCAGCAAAAACTATACGAAGAAGTGATGTCTTCGTTGGACACAAACGGAGAGATTGATTACGAAGTGTTGACAAAACTGCCGTTTTTGGACGCAGTGATCGCTGAGACTCTTAGACTCCATTCACCTATTGTTAAAATAGGAAACATTGCGGCACAAGACTACCGGTTGGGAAGCACTGGGATTACTGTACAAAAGGGACAAACAGTGGAAATACCGATCTATGCTATCCATCACTCGGAGGAATACTATCCAAATCCCGAAATGTTTATTCCCGACCGCTTTCTACCCGTAAATCGTCACAAAATAATTCCCTACACTTATCTACCCTTCAGTGCCGGTCCTCGCAATTGCATTGGAATGAGGTTTGCATTAATGGAAACGAAGTTATGTTTGGCTCATATTATACGGAGGTTTCAGTTTACCCGAAGTCCGCAAACAGAAGTTCCCTTAATTTTACGTAAAAATTCTCTCATAAAATGTGCTAAATCTGTAATAATTGGCATTAAAATTAGGGATTGAGTTATTGCTATACAATAGTTTTATCATATCAATATTAAAACTTAATTAAACATTTGTTAAAATCTGAAATAAAAACATTTTCGTGTAATTTTGAAATTAATAAATTTAAAAATATTGAAGTAATTTATAAATAAAAAATAGCAAAACAATTTGCAAGATCAATTTAAAATGTTAAATATTTGAACATTCAAATTGTTTTGCGGCCATTTCTCTCAGCTTAAACTTTTGCACTTTTCCGGTAACAGTGAGGGGAAAGTCCGTCACAACCACTACACGTTTTGGTATCTTGAAGTGACTTATCTAGATCAATTCGCAATTATATAATTAATTAACATGATACTGAAACTTGATTATAATTAACATACTTTTCCTTTGAAGTACTCCTTAACAGCTTCACTGCCTGACTGTCTGTTTGTTTTAAGCTTAATATAGGCGACCATATCCTCACCGAGACGTTTGTCCGGTATTCCCACCACCTATTGGTTGCCCATAATATCACATTAATTATTACCACATTCAGACATCACATACTGTGCAGTACCTGTGCGTCGGCAACGGACGGATGGGTCATCAGGAAGTCCTCGATCTCTTTGGGGTATATGTTTTCACCGCCTCTAATGATCATATCCTTAAGCCGTCCGTTGATATACAGATACTCGGAGTCGTCCATAAACCCGATGTCACTGCGGGTGTCGTTGAGTGAGTGAGTGAGTGAGTGAGTGAGTGTGTGAGAGAGAGAGAGAGAGAGAGAGAGAGAGAGACCCTTACCCCGTGTGATACCAGCGATTTTTGTCGAGCACCTGATCGGTATGTTCAGGCTGATTATAATAGCCAACAAACGTACAGTGACCACGAATGCACACTTCACCGGACTCGCCGATGGGCAGTACGGCGCCGGTTGTCTGGTCCATGATCTTAATCTCCAAGTGCTGTAGGGGTCGGCCCACAGACTTGAGTTGACGCTCAGCCGAGTCGCGCACCGATGTGTGGGCGACCACTGGACTGCATTCGGTGGACCCGTAAGGGATCTATTTAATGGGCAAACGGATAATCAAAGCAAATAAATATAATGAACATGATTGCTATCATGATAAACTTTTGTATTATAAACTGACCAAGATGTTGGTGCACGTGGGTATACGAGTTATAATCTCCTTGATCAATGTTGGCGGACAGAAGGAGCCTCCCATTATGCCTATAGTCGTAGGTTTTAGATAATTATTTATTACCATGGTAAAAAGTGTTGCACCAACACGAATTTCCTAGCGCACATACCTCTAGCTAAAGAACTTGTATTGTACTTGGTAAGATCGCAGTCCAGTATATCAATAAACATTGTGATTGTGCCAAATACCATATGACACCTTATAAGTAAAATTAATCAATTATCACGATGTTAATATTATTTATACTATACTTGTATTTATCAATGGCCTCGAGTGTCTTATGTGGGTTAAATATGGGGTACGGCAATACCATTGTGGCCCTGCGGAGGGCAATCAACAATGTGCCCAACACTGACCCAAAACAGTGGTACAAAGGGTTGGGTACGCATACTGTAAGGCCGTTGGGCTCCAAACCCTCCGTCATTCGTATGCCCAACAGATAAGCGTTTTGTATAATATTATGGTGGGTTAGTGTCGCCCCCTTTGGCTTCCCAGTGGTACCCGAAGTGAACTGTATGTTAATCGGGTCGTCAAACTGTATGGTCGGGTCGTCGGCCAACTCGTCGGTGTGACCCGCGCTGGCCATCAGGTCATTGACACGGGGTATGTGTTTTGGTGCGATTTCCTGCTCATCGGTGCCGCTGTTTATTACTATTATATTCTTGAGACTCGAGATTCTGGCCGTAAATTGAAAATTATTTTATCATTTTAAATCTCTCTCTCTCTCTCTCTCTCTCTCAAAGATTTTATAAATTAATTAATTTGTAAATTGTTTATCTAATAATTTTCTATACATTACTAACAATAATTGTTAATTATTAATGTAATTTAAATAACCGACATGTACTCACTCATTGCACTGAATGGTGTTGCCATCACTATTCTTCAGCAAGAGTTGCGGTGATATGTTATCCAAGATTTCGCAGTAATTACTGGACCGGAACTGTTGGCTACAGATCAGGGTATGACAGCCGACCAGATTCAGCGCGTACTGCAGCTCATTTGCCCGATAGCCAGGATTCACATTCACCTGTATTATTGAGTTTTTATTTTACAAAATATAATACAAAAGTATAATAAATTATATTTTACCAAGATTGCGCCAATCTTCGCAGTGGCATATTGTGTGAGCACCCATTCATAACAATTGGGGGCCCATATGCCCACTCTGTCACCCCTTCCGCATCCCAAACCCTTTAGACCAATAGCCAATTTATTTGCCTGTAATATAGAGACAATATGTTTATTAAAATTAATTAGAATTATTTAATTATAGAACTAATATTTATTTAATTACATTAAAATGTACACATAAAATATAATACTAATTAAATATACAGTAGTATTAATAAAATATTACTTACGTCAGCATTGAGTTGGGCATAGGTTTTGGTGATCCGTTGATGAGCGCACACAACGGCCGTCCGGTCGGGTGAGTCCTGAGCGCACTCGCGGATCAATTGGCCGATTGTTAGGCCCAACAGGGGCTCCAGTGACGGCTCAAATGCGTAACTATAGCCAGATGTCTGAGAACTAGCACTTTATGTCGTGAAAATTAAAACATGTAGTAAAGATTAAAACAATAATTTAATATATACCTTGTCTGGTGATCTAAATTAAGCATAGTTCAAAAAGTAATTGCATCAATACTAGTTGCTACACAGATAAATATTAACTCAAACATATCAAGCAATAAAAACCTTAATGATTATTACATTGAAGATTTTATTAGAATTATTTTACTTTTTAATTTGAAAACAACTGTTTTCTATCGCGAATACAGATTATATAATGTATAAAGTTAGCATACATTTTATGTTACTAAACAAATTCTGGAAAATTGTTTTATAAATAATTTACTATATTCTCAGATTCATAAATCTAGGTGTAATTATTATGAATCAGTTGTCCTATAACATGGATGATAAAAATATTTGTATCACTTATTATGAAAACAACTGGATTTTATGTTTGCAATTAACAAACATTAATACATTTATTAATACTGTATTATTGAATTGCTTGGAAAGTATGAGATGATTTCCTTGTATACAGTAAACATCACAATTTTTACAATAAACTTATGTAAAAAACTGCTAAATGTATATTGAAGCTTATTGTAGGTGCAGCTGTTAAACTACCCTGTCCTTCATTAGAGCAATGATCGTATTTAAAATAAAATATTTAACAAATAAAACAATTTATTAATTTAAACTGTATTAATAATTTTTAAAATTATAATTTTTTAACAACTGTTCAACACAAGTCATACCACATGACCAGAATGACCAACCAGTGTAGTCTTGTCTGTACTATATAAAGTCCAAGCGAGAAATTATAGCATGAAGGTGTTTTTGTTTGTTAAAACATATAAAAACTCTAATAATAACATCAAATATAAACTAATTTTAATATCAATATTGTAACAACGTGATAATATTTTAATATTGACAGGAAAATAATAGTTTAGTACAGTTGAACATCATTAAAGGTAAATCTAAACAACAGTTAAAACCCGTTATTAGTCATTATTCGTCACGTGACTCTCTCTTATATATTTTCGCGCCAATACTTTATTCAATTATGCTGACACCATCCATATACTCTATTATAATCACATTTATAGTCCAAGCGAGAAATTATAGCATGAAGGTGTTTTTGTTTGTTAAAACATATAAAAACTCTAATAATAACATCAAATATAAACTAATTTTAATATCAATATTGTAACAACGTGATAATATTTTAATATCAATATCAATATTGTATTTTAATATCAATGCTGACGTAAATAATATTTTATTAATACTACTGTACAGTATATTTAATTAGTATTATATTTTTTGTGTAATTTTTGTGTTAATAAAATTATCATTTAAATAAATAAAGGTTTTCTTTTTATATTATCTCCAAAACAATATTTTAGTAAATATATTCACAAATAAATAATTTAATTACCCTAGGTTAAAACTTACAAAATATATGTGCATGAATTTGCAATAAATATAGTGGTCAAGAAAAAGTCATGGTAAATTTTTAAAAATGTAGAAATTTTTAAAGGAAATTGATTATAGGAGTTGACAACACATGACATATCACTCGCCGATCAGATCTCTGATTATAATTGTTTTGTTAGACAGTTGTTAACCAAAAAACAAATCCCACTCAACACACGTCANGAAATTTTTAAAGGAAATTGATTATAGGAGTTGACAACACATGACATATCACTCGCCGATCAGATCTCTGATTATAATTGTTTTGTTAGACAGTTGTTAACCAAAAAACAAATCCCACTCAACACACGTCAAAGTTATAGTCAGCGCCGGCAACACTATCGGCTCCGCACATCTATTTACAGTTATTCATGTTATGAAATGATTAAGAGTGCATTCAAATTTATTACGGCATTTATCTATATTTTATAGTTAAAAAATGTACTTTGTTTTTAAATAATCCAGTTTCCCAAAACCACAATTCACGGTAATAAATACAATAAGTGGTTATTACGAGTGAATCCCGAGTGTAACCCCAATGTCAGGCAAATGTTTGTTTGGCTGATAAACATTTAGTAAACGACACTTTATGCTAAATTAATGGTCAATAAATATTGTATCAATTTATATACAATTTATTGGTCATCGAATCAAATTGCGCGGATTAAACAAACTAATCATATATTTGTATTGGGAATAAACTAAACAGCATGTGGACACACGTGACAGCACCCGACCCCCTACACCTCCTACTTAGTCGTCAAATCCGACCACAAAGGGTGGCTCATAGGCAATGGGTGGTGGACCGTCCGGGAAATCCTCCATAAACTCGGGCTCATCGGGACTCCTATCGGCAAAACGGGCCACATTTTGGCGGCCGGACAGCCGGCGCGTGTCCTCCAACAGTGACAACTCGTGCAACCGGTTGTACCAGCGCTCGATCGAAGGTATGGCCATCTCCTCCAACGTAACCAAACCGCTATCAAACATTTCACGCCACTCATCGATCAGCTCCTGATGGACGGCCACCTCTATGAACGCGTAGACCAGTTGCTCGCAATGGTCGACCCGAGCGGCGCACTGTTGTAGCCAATCGATGGCCTGTTGGCAACGCTGGCGCAGATGGGACCAGCGTTTGTGCCATAGTTGGGCCCTGTGCTGGTCAATGACCGACCACGTAGTTTCAAAGTTGTCCGCATTGTCTACAGCGGCGGTCGGATTGCCGTAATAACTGCGGACAGGTTCGGCACCGTTGCCGCCGCCGCCGACACCAGCTCATAGACAGGCCATAGATTACTGTCGGGCAGTCTCTCGAGCCAAAACTGTCGGCCCTCGTCGGCCATCGTCACTATAATGGGAGTGTCGGCGTTCACCTCGTACCTGACCCGCCGGCCGTTTAACGTAATATAATTGCGATGACCTTGCGGAAGGTTCATTGTCTCAAAAGTGGTGGGCGTACGCTCGACATCGAGTTCAATTGATTCAAACGCGTTAAATATGCCGTTACAGGTGCTCTCGACGGACACCGCGTTGCCACTGATCTGTCCCAATAGGTCTATCATTTCCAACCGGTGCTGTTCGTTGAGTGGCAGCGGTAGTGGCAGTTGCGGTCCAATCATTGTTTGCGGGTTACAGGTGCGGGTCGGCACCGGTCGGGTACTTATGGGTTAGTGCTGTTTGTGTTTTATTTGCATTATTTTGTGTTTTAGTTATTTTGTAATCAATTTTTAAGTAAGTTTTCGAAATTTATTTTTTATATAAACTTTGCTTTACATAATTAAAACAATGTTTTTATCAATAAAAGTATTTACAAAATAATTCTTAAGAATTTATTTAAAATTTTCAATTGAAAGTCAAACCAAAAGACAAACCAAAAGCCAAACCCAAAGCAACCGAAACAGCACCACCTGTTCAGCGCAAGTCATACCACAAAGAAATACCACAAGACATACCACTTCGTGAAGAGTAGATCCGGTTTTGTTAGACAATTATTAAGCAACAAATCAGACGCAATCAAAAAGCCAAATGTCAAAAGCGGACAAAAACCTGTTACAGACGCCGGGCGTGAAACGGCTCCGCCTGCAACCCGTGCAGCGCCTGA